ACCTCCAGGAACCGACACCGCGGGCGCCGTGCCACGCCCGAGGCCGTTAGCGCCCACTCGGAACCTGCCCGGTGCGATCAAATTGCGGAGACACCGCAGGCAGGAGGAGCTAAGAACAGTACAATGGCTGCGTCGTTGCCTCGAGCCCCAAGGTCCGCTACCTACCCCTCCCGAAGAACAAGCGATCGCCTAAGGCAAGGAACCCCCCTCCTCCCAGAACCGACTGAGGGAGAAAGAACCGTGACGCCCGGTCACCCTGCAGAAGTTGACGATGGAAACACCTGGATGAGCAGATAAGCCGCAAGGATGCTGACGTATGATGATGCTGCAGGACCTACAAAAATATAGTCACCGTGCTGCACACTTAGATGGGTAATTAGAAATATGCATTAGAAGGTAATGGGATGATTTGTATCACACCCTTGCAGCGTAGGGTATAAAACCCTAAAGAGAATCCCCTTGGGCCTGCGCAGTTGCAGCCCAGCCTCTCTCCTGGGTTGGCACGCCAGTTACAAATGCCATTCCTAATGCCGAGAAGCAGCCCCTTCCCCAGCAGACAAAGCCTCCCACGCTGAATTCACGTTTACGCGCATCAGCCATGCAGTGCTATTAGGTGGGTTTATTCGGCAAAGCCAACCTCGTTGACAGCATCTGGGCTGTTTTTTGAGCATGAATCAGAAGCCATACAGATAGCAAAACAACGTTTATTAAAGGCACGGAGGAAAATGCAAAAACATGAAATGGGTTGTTTTTTTTTTTTAAGAGCTCCTACGTTAGGTATATAACATATATATATGTTTATATGTAATTATATTTCACTAAAAAAGTGAAACAATTCACAAATACATGTAACTATGCCAGTAATACATTTGAACAGGACATTTTGAGTCTACCCTGCCTCCTCCTAGAATTTAAAACAAGGAAGAGAAACACTGAAAATACCTTTTTATCACCTTACACAGCTGCAACTAGAGGCGTCTACAAACACATAGCATCTCCAAAGTTTTTTGGTTTGCTTTTTTTAACATATGCTGCAGTAAGACAGTAAGGATTAAGTCACTGGAAGTCTTGCTGGATATTTTCCTTGTTTGCTTCCCCATGCTGCTGTTTGATTTGTGAAATTTCGTTTTCTAGCTGCACAATAGTTCGTTCAATCTCATAATTTTTACTGACAAGAGAGACCCATCTGGAAGGGAAAAGAAATAAAAAAGCCTTCAAGTGTTATTTAATAGCCCTCTGTTTCAAAATCAAAGACAATTATTGCTCCAAAGAAAGCACAAAGACACCAAATAAAGCAGTATTTTTCTCAGTACGTGATAAACCTCAGTGGATATCAATGGTAATTTGAACAACCAAAGTGATAAAAAGTAGATTTTAATCCTGTTAAACCTTAACATACAAAATTTAATTTACTAGACTCAAATCCACTAACTTCCAATATCTAGATAAAGAAGAGTTTAAGAAACAATTTAGACAGGCAGTTTCAAGCACCTAATATGCCCTCCTTTTCACATCTGTTGCTCATTGATTTGCTCAACCACAGTAACTATTACGTAGACCTGTATTACAAACCCTTTAAAACACTTTGTGCAAAGCAACAGTATTCATGCGATAACATTCTACAACAGTACTAAAAGATCACTGATGCTCTGCATGCAAGAATTTCAAGCAAAAGATATACTTGTGGAAGATTTAACGGAAAAAATCCAGATACTCACGTAGATTCCATTTCTCGTAGCTTAGCCCCAGCTGTGAGCTGCATGTTCTTTCGTTGCCAGTTCAGATCTTGAATGTTTTTCCTGGGGAGAATGAGATCTATGGGTTTTTTTTTGCCTCCTTTCTTTAGAATTTGTAATATCTGCTGCTAATTTCGAAATACACCTAATCCCTAGAAGTACTACCAGAAAACACTTGTGTAGCCAGGACCGTAACTACAACATATAGGTGGACAAATCCCAGTACAGGGCTGCACACAGAACCCTGAGGCAAGTAAGACAAACAAAAAAAACCCAACAAAAACAACAACAAAAAACCTTCCACTCTACTACAAGCACAATTTCAAACATTCAAGCCTACTGCTCCTGGACAAGTGCAGAAGAGAAAAAATGTTTTGTTCTCTCTGAAAAAAAGTCAGAAAAGCAAAGATGAATGGCTAATCATTTGCAAAATTCAGTAATTCAGTAAAGCACCTGAGAAGTACAGAACACTTAAAATACTTTGGTCTCTAAGTAGTTCTTAGTTCACACTGCTAACACTCATATTCTGTGAGCCTCCTTGCCATACATTGTCGTGTTCTTCAGCCTTCCCAACTTGAGTTCTGCTGCTACCCTCTCCCACACTGATTCTGTCCAAGACAGTAATTACGGCTAATCTAAACACACAGGTACTGATAAAAGATACGAATCACGATGCAACTTGCCTTCTACCCATGTCCCAGTATACATTCCCATCTTCAGGCTGAAAATGACAGTAGTTCACCTAAATCTGAAAGCTGAAAAGCTTTACTTGCCAAGACCATAGCATGCTGTCTAAATAGAGTGAATTATGAAGGTGCATCATTTCAATATACTACAACCTCCATCCCCAAGTAATCCATCTCTGTAAACTCATTAAAGCATCCACTTTAAAATGATAGGCCAAACCTAACATCAGGGAACATCTTCGCTGAGACAACTGCACACTAAATAAAAGTCCATCAGCAGTGAAAAGAAAACATGACTATTTCAGAGAGGATTCCAACACAATCCATTCTGTTCAAAGCAGAGGTTCAGACAAAACAAAATCAAACAAAACAAACAGAGTTTGAGTGGAATAGGCATTATGAATGTAGCCGCTTGGGGAGGGCAGGGTCAGACTTCTTAATTATTGTTATTACTGGGTCTTTTTTCCTGTGACCACAGCAGCAGCATATACACAAACCTTTGTATAGCTTGGGGGGTGGGGGAGAGAGTTCACTTTCCTTCCAACTTCAGTATGAAAATATGAAAAAGAATGACTCACCTCAACTTCTGAAGCTCTTTCTGGGCTTGTTCTATCATATGAACCAGATGTCTAATAGCAGAATGCAAGCAAAGCATTAGGAAAACATACAATTGCTAGATCAGACCCATTTAACCTGCGATTTAACTCTTCAGTTAAGGACACAACAAGCCATTTCAATGCAAACACCAGACAACTTGTTCTCATCTCAGTGCAGCCTATGCTTTTCACTCCTGAAGGGAATGACACAACGCCAAAACACTCCCGTTGTAACATATGCAGTTTTAAGACATAAACCTTCAATAATCACTATGGTCAGCTCTTGCCATCAGACAGTATCATAAAATCATATCCATTAGCTGATCGAGCTTGTTACTGTATGCTTGTGCTATTCTGACTAGAATGCTATTGTAACATCTCCCTACCTTATCACCCATCTTCTAATTCTAAAATCACCTGTAACCAATTTTTATTATTGTTTCCCACATATAACATTGTCAGAGCACAAACAGCTCTTTTTGCTTCCTGACGCATGTGTGAGCTAATAGATCCTCTACCTGTCCCCCCCTTCTCCTAAGCTAAGCAGCTTTGACTTCTCTCAAAGGTTAAGTTTCGCACTCCTTTTGTCTACACCTTTATCTAAGACTAAGCTAACCCTTCTCAAAAGTGGGCGCTAACATTCTCTGCCTGAAATAGCCCTGGTGCTTCCTGCAGCCATACTGTCTACAACTTTTTTTGGCTTTTGCAACAGCTTTTATTAATAATGGCTCCCAGCTGAGCAGTATCAGTAGTAAGTGATCTTTATTTCCACTACTGAACGGTCATTTTGCAGGCTGTCATTAGTCCCTTTAGTTATCCTCAATTAAAGCCCATTATCACCAACTGCTACCCAAACGATAATTCACAAAATTCAAGATTGGGATGTATTGAAACACAGGCTATTTCTTGGCCGCAGAGACGGCTCCCTTCTCTTCCAGATCAGCCTCCTTTTCTTCCATGTATGGCTCTCTCAAAGGGGCTCAGCTATTCCAGGATACGTTCTAAAGATTCCCCACTGGACTTACACAGGAAAACGCGAGAAATATACAGAAACTGAAGTCAGAACTTCAACTAGGTTCAGCAAAGCAGATGAAGGCCTTACTCGTTGTACACCTTCCAAGCGTTACAACCGTGTTGCGACATTAACTCCAGGTTCTCGATGCGGACCGCCTGGTGCTCCAGTTGCGCCATGGAGTTGTTCACGCACTCCTGCCACGCCGTGATATCGTTCTTCTGGCCGGAGGCCGGGGCCGGCAGCTCGTACCTAGAACACGGCGCCCGCCCGCC